ATCTTCGATAGGGGAGGTGGTAATTGGCATAAGTATGCAGAAGCATAGCGACGGTATCATATAAATATGATAACTCCCTCTATATAAAATTACCAGTCTCTGCTACTGTCTTAGATGATGGATTCGCGACGGATTTCGAAACGTCAGGCGAGTAAAATTCCTGTCCCGGCGATCACATATGCTTCTTCTGAAGTTTGAAACTGTGAGATTTTCAAGACCATGAAACGTTCGTTCACGGACGGTGGTCTACAACCAGATCCACCGTTAACCACAGAATTTTATAAATCCCGTATGAGGTCTTCTTCACAGTACACGTCTTTCTCATAGAACTTTGGAAAGCTGGAGCACAGCAGGTTGGCTTCAACATTATTCGGTAATTACAAAGGCTTAATAAAACCGAAATATACCCTTTCTTCAAGTATAACATTTAGGGGAGACATATTTTCCTACTAAATGAGCACAATAAAGAACATTTCATTCATGATTTCCACGAAATATATATGCATCGAAAGTCAGTGTGAAAAGTCGTGTTCTACAAGGCTTTGGTTGTGAGCGGACGGGTGGACGAAAAAAACCTCCTGCACAAGCCGACATCCTGATGCAATTTGAAAATCCCGGGCTTCAGGCATTAATATCACAAGCTCCTTAAGTAGTATTATTTCAATCAAATGCATGCACTACAAAATTGCAATGCTCACTTCATGAAACAATAAATATACCGTACGCCTGCAATAATACTTGATCAAGCCGGCCTCAATGATGCCCCGTATCATACCTCTCCAAGCGGGAAGAACCGTGGCAACAGAACTGGATGGTTCAATTCATTCTTTTCGCCGACGCCGGAGGTCGAATACCAAAGGTCCAAAAAAACTTAAGTGTCTAGACGGACTGAGTCAAGCCAGCTTTTGGGTTGCCCCCTGTATTTTATGCCTCTACTTGGGTAGCGGTTTCGGGTGGGGGGCACCGACATTGAGCTCATACGGTTGACGACGAAGAGCGTGTCAAAAACAGCTCAGTCGTCGTTCCTGGGT